GTCACACTGCGGAACGGCCACCAACCCAAACACCGATCGAACATGAACCTAAGCTGCCTAAGCATAAAACTTGTGTAGCCCTGAGCTGCCACGCAGTGACGCCTCTTCAAGTACTTGTTGCGAGTATCAATTACAACACGAAGCAGTGGCAAATCTCCATTTACAAAAACTGTGTGCCACGCCATCACAGAGGTGCACGTCAATATCGCTTAAAATGGTTTAAATGCACGTTCTGCGACCACGACTTCGCAAATAACAAAGTATTTTTCTCTACCTGTGGACACCGATGTGCGGATTTAGTGTGCGATGGCTTTTTTTAAATGCAATGAAAACTCGCTTGTCTAAATAAATTAGTAGCTAATGGGCATAAACCGGGAATGGGTTGCACGCATTCTGTCACTCATCATGAAACCGATTTTGAAAACCCATGTGCACGCACCAGAGCATCCAGGAGACGTGCTGCATGAAGAGAAATGACTCCATGTTTACAATTACTCGCTCACGGCAAACGCGCACGCTTAGGAGACCGCATGCAGCAGCGCCGACATGAGAACCACAGCGACCAAAGGAACGCACTACGCCACTCTGCTCTGTGGTTTTCACTAGGTGACAGTGGCACCAGAACACAAAGCCTAGCTAGTAGTGGCAGCACGCTCAATGCGCGACAGAACATTTTCGCCGGGTCACACGTATTTACAACAGTTTAGAGGAGATTATGGTGGTTCCATGCATGGGAGCTTCTGACACCAGAAATGTGCAAAGTAAAAAAAAACACAATTAGGTGCGTCTTACTAGTAAACTTCGTCTTCTTTCCCCCCTAAAACTGAGGTTGCCATCCGAAATTCTAGATTTCAAGGCTGTTTTAGAGCAGGTCGGTGTAATTTTCGCTATCTTTATGCTTTTAGAGAAGCTTCGCACAAGGAAACGGAAATGTATCAAAAGTGCCCAACATTCGCAGCTACCTTGCATGGGTGCGGTGCTGTCATTCTGTGAGGTGAGAGAAAATTTCATTTGTCACTGCAGTGTGCGCACCTTTTTAAATACGCATTTTGTTTTTGTTGGGTTTCTAACATGATAATTACTATTGTGCACAATGACCGGTCATTTCCAAGACAGTGGCCTATCAGTAGCACGAAATCATTTTTCCTTCGCCTCATCCAAGCCGCACAAAAAGTCCAACAGCTTCCGTGGTGCATGTAAAGCCCTCAACGATGCTTTGGTCCCAAATGGCGCCCAGTTCGATGTTGGCTGTGCCCACCAGGAAAATCAAAAACCTGCAAAGGACCGACCCCACGCAAGCGTTGCAGCATTTCAGCATGCGGCTTTCTGACGTGGCACGTGCCACACCCTCTTTCTTGTTCCCATAGGGAGAGGGTGCTGTGTCTTGTATAACACCGTGGCCGCGTTAAAAATTTACACGCTGAGGGACTTCAATGCGTATGTGTGGTAAGGCCCTAAAGGGGTTGCGCCACAATATTTGTGGCTTGCATGTTCAATGCTGCAGGCATTTCTTAGGGCTCCACACGATAGACGCACCAAGATTCAGTTATTCTCTCTAAATAATTTATTATCGCCTTATTTGTGTGGTTAATATTTTAGTTTTGGTTTGTGGGCTCGTTTGGCAGGGACCCTTTCATGAGGTCGTGGCAGGGACGTAGCAGTGTAAGGTGACTTAGTCATGTGATCACACAAAGCTTTGACAAGCGTCATGCTGAGCATCCTCTGCTCTTGAACACATGTGCCACACAAGCACCAGCAAAACAAACGCAGCAACCGCGATGCTTTGCCAGTACGTACGTGGCAGAAGTCTGGAAGTCACTCGCCTCACTACAGATCTGTAGTGACGTCACTACAACTTTCGTGGCCCTTCCTACAGCGCTATTCTAAATGTTTTCAGAGTCCAACCATACGTGTGGAGTGTCCTTGTATTAAGAGGAAATAACATAACCCTTGCTATAGCCTTGAAATTTGATAGCACCACCCCATAAAAGCGTTGGCTTATGCACAGATGACACTTTTTGGCAGCATGTTCCTTAAACACCAAGAAGTAACTATTCTACATTCATCCTACGCATACATGTGTGTTCTTTTCTAGCAACCTCCTTGGCGCTAATCCCGTGCGTGTACTTTTCAGGCATTCATTGTTCTTGAGTGGTGCACTGCATGTATTCAATGGCTTGCCCTTTTTTGGCTGATATTATAATTTCTTGCTATCACATTCACTGCTTTGTCCTCCCCACAAAACACATCCATTTTTGCAAAACAGGACCATGTGCAGCCCGCGCGGCATCACTGCCTCGGAAATAGGGAGTTTGACACGTTGACACACCGATCTACCACATTTAGGTGGTGAGAATGTTGATATGAGAATGCGCTGCTCAGGAAAGTCAAAGATTTTCAAGGCCGAAAAAAAAAAAATTCCAGGACTTTCAAGGGCCTTGAAAGTGCATTTTTCAAATTAAAGAGCTTTCAAGGATTTCAAGGAACCTGTACACACACTGTGCGATGTGCATGGCTGTGCTACCCGATGTATCAAAATACGACATGCTCGATCGAGAACACAGATTTGTCTTGTGGTGGTTTACGTCACACGGTCCGAAGCGCTAATAAACAAACCCTTCTCATCGGCGAGTCAACAAATGACAGTCTTGGACGCGCATGTGCAGTGCACGATATAATCTGACGACTGCCCTTCTGCTTGCAGCTGCATTAACTAAGGCGTAATTGCATCCTGAATTATCGTCGACCGATGATCACAGAATCAGTGCGAAAACGAAACTCAGTAGCCCGATTATTTACAGCCATGACCTCGTGATGCGCAAAAAGCAGCCGATCCTATCCCAAAGGCGTATCCCGGAACGAGCGTGCGACCAATGAGACATACTGAAGGAACATGGCACAAGCAGCCAATCAGAGGCCTCGAAATGAATTTCAAACATCTGCTTTTAGGGGCGAAGCTCCTTAGGGCGTGGGCTGTGCGTCCCCTGTAGCCTGTATGTAGCCACCTCTAGTTTAGTTCTTGCAGTGTTCACTAGATGGCGGTACCGTCTCCTGTATGTAGCCACCTCTCGTTTAGTTCTTGTAGTGTTTACTAGATGGTGGTACTTGTAGCTGGTGATAAAAAAGATGCAAGATGTTATAAACTAGAAAGCAGTACTTGTAGTAGATAAAAGACGTGAGATCTTATAAAATAGGAATGATGTCACATATGGCGCGTGTCATTGGTAGAAGGCAATCGTTCAATTTAGTGCGGCGACGTACGCTAGGGGGAGCGTTGTAATAAAATCCGTTCGCTGTTGGCGCGCGCTCGGAGTCGCCGGATGGACAATGCTGCAGAGTGGCGAGCGCGTAAGGCGGCGGCAGCGCGCGCTCGCAAACGAAATCCCGATGTGCGAGCCCGCGAGATAGAAACACGCTGTGAAGCTCCGCGACGCCACCGCCTAGATCCTGCCGTACGAGAGCGGGAGGCCAAAGCGGCATGGCATACGCACACAGCGGTTCTCACACCTTTAAATAATGATCTTCTGGGTAATTTAGACAGAAGACTCACGGTTTACCATTGATTCTCTTCAGAGCTTCGCCCACTCATCATAATTCACCCCGTGGATATGCTGTGATTTTTTTTGAACACAAAATGCTCTTTACGAAATACTTTTACGCATAGGTGTATGAAAGGTTCCCCTTCAGTGGGAGGGGGAGGGGGGGACAAGGTTTATCTCAGCACCCCCTCGTTATTATGTTAATATTTAGGGCAGGTTATGCCCCCCTCTTCCTATCAAAACGTCCCCTCCCGATTAATTCATTGCATGGGGGCTGACTTTAAGCACCCCACTTATGTGACTAGGGTGGGTGCAGCAACCCCTTTTGTGCACACACCTATGTTTTTACAATGTGCCCAAAATGGTGATGGCTTCTGTGCCATTGCGAATCTATACATCATCAAAAAATATACCTTTTGTTGTTTTGTTTTTCTAGTTTCGCAATAATTTTCACCACCTCGACAGGCATAAATAACTTTTACAGCCCTATTACGCAGTTTTAAGTGAACATATTTTGGAATTAGAAAAAGAGCTACAGAAACTGACAATTTGATTTGCAAAAAAATCTAACTTTTTATGCCACATTAAAAAAACATATATGACTAGTAATTTTCTCTGGTTATAACAGACCCATTCAGTGTTTCCATAAAGAGCCTGTTGTAACAGTGCTTGGATTTTACATACTCTTTTTACAATAGACCGAATTCTCTTGATTGATTGATATGTGAGGTTTAACGTCCCAAAACCACAGTATGATTGATTGATTGATTAATATGTGGGGTTTAACGCCCCAAAACCACCATATGATTATGAGAGATGCCGTAGTGGAGGGCTCCGGAAATTTCGACCACCTGGGGTTCTTTAACGTGTGCCCAAATCTGAGCACACGGGCCTACAACATTTCCACCTCCATCGAAAATGCAGCCGCCACAACCAGGATTCGATCCCGCGACCTGCAAGTCAGCAGCCGAGTACCTTAGCCACTAGACCACTGCAGCAGGGTCAAAGTCAAGATCACTATGGAGGTCTGTTGTAATGAGGTTATACTGTATGTCCGAAAATTTGCTATAAACATATATTTGTAGCACTGTGTCTATGACAGAGCTATTTTCACCAGTTAGTCATTATATCCGGGTTTGAGTGCAGTCACATTTGCAAAGAACCACTGTCTATTCAAAATTGCATCATCATTCCAAGTGATAGTTTTGTCTGAAGTTTTTAGTAGTGCTAATATTTTATAATTGCAGTATTAGAACTTGATGTTGACCATAATTCAGCTACTTGACAAAAGCCAATCTTTTGGAACAGGTTGGTGTAGCTCTAGGGTTTGCCACAAAGTGGCACAGACTAGCTCACTGCAAAACTAATACAACTACCAGCCATGACGCTTTGTACAGACAAGCCACATGCAGCATTTTGTATAGGTTGCGCCCATCCAGAGTTGTCAAGGCAAGTACTGACCACTTGCAGGGGTAGAGAAGTCCTGGCCCTTGGACCTGCGGCTGCGCGGAGGCTTCTCGCGCAGTGGGGAGCCTTTGGCAGCCGCAGCTGTCGAGTTGGGTGGCGACGGTGGTGCTTCTGCTGTCATCTCCACCTTTTGCTGCTGCTGCTCCTGCAGGTGCTTCAGCTCAATTTCATCCTGAAAGGCGGTTGCAATGCACGCATGAGAATTTTTTTTTTTCAAATCAAATCAAATCAAGTTTTATTATTTCATAATAACATTGACAAAAAAAGAATATACAGAAGGAGGTCCTGTAGTATACATTAAAATAGGACCTCCTATGAAATGTAAACATAAGTATTTGATTGGCATCAGCAGTGCAAAAATAAAAAAATACAAGGTTAAAAAAATGCAGATGCAAATAAATAACGATGCTCTCATCGACTATATACGAATAGAAATATAAACTGTAAAATATATTTATATATATCTATATGGATAGTATGACATGCAAAGCAAAAAAAAATAAGAGATTGAAAAGAGAATGACATAGCGAGGGAGAAACCGGTTAAGCAGAAAAGTGAGTGTCGCATAACAAAAACTTTTTCAATTATTGGCAAAAGTTATGATTTTTTAATTTTTATCAAAAATGGCAGTGTATTCCATAATGATATGGCTGCAAAATGATTGGTCTATTTGCCATAATTAGTTTGTACTTTAGGCAGAATGAAGTGGTTATGCTGCGCAAAACGAGTTGGGTTAGTATTTAGTAAAGATGATGAATGAATTGATGATAATAATAATATTTATTGATTATTTGGAAAAGAATAGTGGCAAGATTGAATTTTACAAGAACGGCAACATCGAGAATTTTATTTCCTTGTAGCAACTGTTTAGCATTGTGGGTGAGTGAACTAAACGTGATTAATCAAACAGCCTGATTCTGAATGATTTGTAGTGGTTTTATGTGAGTCGTGTTCGCGTTACCCCATGAGGTTGTGCAGTAATCGATGTGTGAGGGCACAAAACGCGAAATAAAGTTAGAGCAAGACAGGAGGTGAAAAAAATTAATGTGCTCTGATGAGGATGAGTATTTCGTGAGATAACTTCTTTTTAAGATTTGTGACATGGTTTTGAAATTTCAAATGATGGTCAATATTTTTGCCTAAGTAAACACATTCTTCACTGATTGATATGTGGGGTTTAACATCCCAAAACCACTACATGATTATGACAGACGCAGTAGTGCAGGGCTCCGAAAATTCCGACCACCTGGGGTTCTTTAACGTGCACCCAAATCAGAGCCTACAACATTTCCGCCTGCATCGGAAATCAGCTGCCGCAGCCGGGATTCGATCCCGCGAACTGCGGGTCAGTAGCCGAGTACCTTAGCCACTATACCACTGCGGCGGGGCACACATTCTTCACTTGCCGGTAATGCGTGGTTATCAATAAAAATGGTCCCGATGCACAGTGGTGATTTATTTTGTGATAAGAACACAAGAAATTTAGTGTTCGAGGGATTAATAGTAAGTATACTGGTTTCACATCAATCTAACAAGTTGTGAAGGTCACTGTTAAGCTGGGTTACTACTACAGATAGATCTTCATTAGAATTAATATTTGTAGTGTCATCAGCATATATATGCACTTGCAGAAGGTAAGACATTCAGGCAGGTCAATAATATAAATTAAAGATAGTAAGGGACCCAAAATTGATCTCTGCGGTACAGCCAGATTAGTAATTTGAGGTTTAAAATAAGCATTGCATATATTGATAACTTGATACCTGTCTCGTAAGTAGTCGTGTAGCAGAAGTAAAGGAGGACCACTTATGCCAATACAGTCGAGTTTCAAGGTACACCCACTGGTGCATGAAGCCAGTGGGTGGACCTTGGAACACAGAAGGAGGCAAAAGACAACGAATGAGTGTTAACTACACTCAAGTTTCAATATATTCAACACAAATATACAGTTAAACCCACTTATAAGAATCCCTGATATAACGATTTATCATTTATAACGACCGCATTTCGGTGCCTTTATGATTTTTCTATGCTACCCATTGAAAATGCATTCACATATACAGCTGAACCCCTTTAAAAATGCATGTTCTGGGCGGTAAAAACGTGGCACATACAATGTGAAAAAAAAGCAAAATTATAACAGGCATTCTAACGCACATGAATTGCACTTGCGAGTGCATGCCTGTTTCATTATTGCCCCATTATACGGTTTTGGTTTATACTACCTTGTGCAAATGATGCCAAATGACCAAGAACTATAGAGATAATGTCAGAAACTTCCGATGCGATTACGCACACAACACCAACATTACAGTTTCTTATAGGACACATGTATAAATAGCGACACGCTTCACCAATTGTCAGTTGATCGACGGCCTCTGCTCAGTTCATCACAATCACTAGGAGTGTGTGTAGCGGTAATCTGATTTTTCGTTTGCCATCCACAAGTTCAGCCAAATAAAGTTTCATCTAAGAAAAAGCACTGCTTCAGGAAACATCACAAAAAACTGTGCCCATTTAAACAACGCTGAGGAACTATGCAATGAACGTGATAGGAAAGCACATTACCGTTCCAGCCCTCTCCAGCGCCATCACTTCCATGGGTACCAAAAAACCTACAGACTTTGGAAGTGTCATAAAGGGCGATCAGCAGCTGCTTGTTAACCGTCAGATTTAAACGTAAACATTTTGACAGCAATCTGTCTGGCTGGGTAGAAAAGTTTAGAAAATTGAAATTGCTCCAGCCACAGTTCAAAAAGAGCCCGACGTTTCGGGACCGACTCGGTCCCTTCCTCAGGGGGTGACTGTCTTGGTCATGGAAGTGTCGTCGCGTCGTGTTCTCTCACCACGGCTCCGGCTTTCCCTTTCCACCACGTTTCGGAGACCGTGAACGTACACCGAAGGCATTGTTCCCAGCGAGCGGTTCACGTTGGCAGGCGTATGCTGAATGTGCCAAGACTCGAGCAAGAGCCTCTTTCCCAAATTCCGTTCTGTTTCAATAACAGAAGCGCCGTCTAAGTCAATTTTATGGTCGTGCTTCTCGCAGTGCTCCGCCAGAGCGCTACGGTGCACTTCCGCTCTGGCGGAGCACTGCGAGAAGCACGACCATAAAATTGACTTAGACGGCGCTTCTGTTATTGAAACAGAACGGAATTTGGGAAAGAGGCTCTTGCTCGAGTCTTGGCACATTCAGCATACGCCTGCCAACGTGAACCGCTCGCTGGGAACAATGCCTTCGGTGTACGTTCACGGTCTCCGAAACGTGGTGGAAAGGGAAAGCCGGAGCCGTGGTGAGAGAACACGACGCGACGACACTTCCATGACCAAGACAGTCACCCCCTGAGGAAGGGACCGAGTCGGTCCCGAAACGTCGGGCTCTTTTTGAACTGTGGCTGGAGCAATTTCAATTTTCTAAACCGTCAGATTTGTACATACATCCTTATCACAGTCATCTGCAGATATCTGCTTGGCTGTGTGTGCTTAAGCCATGTGGACAGCAGCACCAGCGTGATTGGTTCCTGGTGGCAATAACATGCATCAGGGGAACGGTGCGAGTTCACTGCGTAACGGGGTTTATTCCTTTGAGGGCCTTTTTGGCGCACCTGTATGGCATTTCCTGTATCTTTAAAGTGCACACCTTTTTTTACCATTTCTCTTGCTTGGCATGTGCTACCACACTTTAGGAACATGTGGAATTTTTTCATGTACAAACGTCTCTTAGCTGTATATTTTTCTTTTGCTTCGCAAAGCAATGCCAGCTACGTTTGTCCATCCAAGCACACCTGCACTGCATCTAATTTGAAATGCATGCCTTCATTGATTTTTCTTGCTTTTATGTGCCATGCTTAGGGATTACGTCGAATTCCTTTTACTTAATATTCCTCTGTTGTTTTAGATCTGAAAAACACTGTTATTGTTGCACACTTTTCCTCGTGCTTCTAGGAGTATAGTGCCATGTTGCTTGCAGCTATATTAAGACCCATGATTGCTGCGATAAATGGGACAGGCAACGATGATGTCCAGACTTCCCCAGTCTAAAAGCTTTAAACTCTTTCGATTGAGCAGAAAGAGGCAACGACAGAACAACATGCTGGCAACTGAAATGCTGTGCTTGATCTTCAGCCACAGTTGCAAGGTAAATATCGCCCCAGTAAGCACGTAGGCATTTTTTTTTTCCTTGCATGCTTAATTTTTGAGGCTGAACAATTTCAAACTGTGTGCACCTATCAATCTTAATCCAGCTCAATGAATCTGCTTGTCATGTGAAGAAGAAAACGCATCATTGGCAAGCAACATCGCCACCGCTTGAGTACTGAGTTCTGGACTTCTCTCGCTCGCCTCGTGCTAATCGTCACCGGCATCTGCTTGACCGTTGTCTGTCCCGACCATGTTTTCATCGTAGAGCCACCATCGCAACACACGCCAATAAACCCTTTTCAATTGGTGGAGGGTGCTGACATTCCCCGTCGCCTCAACCTGGGTGCTGCCATTCGCCGTCGCCTAAACCTGGAGCTGCGCAACCGAATGCTACCTCCCATCATGGCCACCAAGAACGCGCAACCTGGCTCTTCCACTCCATCCTCCAGCAACCCCGGCGTTCTTCGCCTGCGAGAGCCCAAGGTCTTTAGCAGAGGTGATGAGACCGACGTGGAAGACTGGTTCACTAACTACAAACTGGTGAGCGCAAACATCAAGTGGGATGACAAGGACAAGTTGACTAACGTCTTCTTTTACCTCGCTGACATGACCGAAAGGTGGAAATGTGGTATAACAACTTGCAGACGTTTTTGGCCGACCCGCTGCCCGCAAGTCCAGAGCCGAACAACGCTTGCGGACTCGCACACAGAAGCCATCGGAACCGTTCACCAGTTACATTGAAGACATTATTGGTCTTAGCAACCGCGTGAACATCGCCATGCCCGAGTTGGAGAAGATTCAGCACATCCTCAAAGGGATAAATGACGGCGCAGTTCAGATGCTCCTGGCCCGTAATCCTGCCACCGTTACGGAACTTGTCACTTTATGTCAAAGTTTCGACGAGTTGAGGAAGCAGCGCGTCCTGACTCTGCCATTTTCCTCACACGCTGACTCATTGTCCAGTCTTACTTCTATTCCCGATCATTCACCAACCCTGCAAGAGATTAAAGACTTTGTGCGTAAGAAGTAGCTCGG